GAAACAAGATGATCATAAAATGTGTCTCTTGACTTGTAAATATCAGATTGTGGTGCATCACAAACAACATCATTGCACGAAAATAGTACAAACTACAGAACATTACACAAAATCTAAAAGATTTTATTGAATTTAACACAATAAGTATGAACGTGTAAAAAGATTTATAATTAAGGTGTAGTTGTAATTATCCAAACACAATAATTTTTTTTTTTCGTAATTTAACCGGCTGTCAACGGGGAACGTAATTTATCCTAAGATTTAAAAAAATAGAGAAGGACAAAGTGTCAATTATCTAATCCAGTGTATGAAAGTGAGAAATGAGAATTTTCCCCACACACACACACACACAGTATACAGACACACACACACACACAGTGTTTGAAGACAGCTAAACTGCACCACTGTACTAATTCCATATAAAAGAAAGACCCCACGAGTGGGGCTTCAGTTTCTCATATACATTTATGATTTATTCATCTTTTTTTATTATTATTTATTTTAAATTAAAAAAAATAAAATAATGATAGGTCCCCCACCTGCCACCACCACCCCACCACCACTTGGACCCCACTCTCCTCCTCCCAGCTAACACACACACACACACACACACACAAACAGTACACACACTGATTCTCTTTTCTGGTACTAGCTTTTCTATAGGCTCCCACATCTACTCTCTCTCTCTCTCTCTCTTTCTCTCTCACACACACACTTACACTACATTCATTCTCTCTCTCTCTCTCTCTCTCTCTACAAAGACAGCAGTCAACCAGAAAGGAAGAGAGAGAGAGAGAGAGAAAGAAATAACCCCACCATCAATTTACTTCCACTTGTTCAGTTGGCTCAAAAGACTTTGCAACAAAACAACTTGATCTTCACTCTCTCTCTCTCTCTCCTCTCTTTCTCTCTCTAACTTGCCTTACCTTCATCAATTTGGCAATCTGATTATTATGTTTCGATTGCCAATCAATTTTTCTTGAAAAAAAAAACAAAAAAACTCCATCTTGAAAAAAAAGAATGGAATTTATGGAGCCAAATAACAAAAACCAAGGAGGAGGAGGCAATAGTAGTAACTCCGACCACCACCATGAACACCACCAACACCACCAACAACACCACCATCACCACCACAACCAAAGTCAAACTGAACCCGGTTCTGGGTCCGGTCCAACCCCACTCCATGGTCCATTCATGGGCTCCATCTCCATGCAACAATCAAGAAACCTAGCCCACTCCTCTTCCTCCTCCATCTCCACCACCACTACAACCACCGCCACCGCCGCCGCCGCCGTCACCTCCACAGCAATCACGATCGCGAATAGTAATAACAGCAACGAAAACAGCAACAACGATTCCGCCGCGAAGAAACCTGTGATCAAGAAACCGTCCAAGGACCGACACACGAAGGTCGACGGCCGTGGGCGGCGCATCCGTATGCCGGCCTTGTGCGCCGCCAGGGTTTTCCAGCTGACTAGAGAATTGGGCCACAAATCCGACGGCGAGACGATAGAGTGGCTTCTGCACCAAGCCGAGCCGGCTATTATAGCAGCCACCGGCACGGGGACTATCCCGGCGAACTTCTCCACACTCAACGTGTCTCTACGCAGCAGCGGCACGACCATCTCAGCTCCGCCGTCGAAATCCGCGCCGCTCTTCCTCGGCGGCGCCACCGGCATGCTGGGCTTCCACCACCAGCTCGCCTCGAACGTCCATTACGGCCAAGACCCAGATGACAGCTACATGAAGAAACGCTACAGAGAAGATACAAGCGGAGCAACGTCGCCTAAACAGGGAAGAACCGGCGGCGGCGGCCACGACCAAGAACCGGGATCTGAAACCAAACCCGGCTCAGCTCAGACTTCAAATTTCATCCCGGCTCAGGCCATGTGGGCGGTGACTCCGGCAGCCGCCAACGTCGGAAACGCCTTCTGGATGATGCCGGTGACCGGAAGCGCAGGCACGGCGACGGTGGGGCAGCAAGAGTGGCCGTACAAGGCGTCTTCGATGCAGAGAATTGGAGGGTTCGAGTTTCCCGGAGTGGGACGGTTCAACCCGGTTCAACTCGGGTCGATGGTCTTGCAGCAGCAGCAGCAGCAGCCGGTTCAGCATCATCTCGGCTTAGGTGTTACAGAAACTAATATGGGAATGTTGGCCTCTATCAATGCTTACAATAGCAGCAATAATAATAATAATAACAACAACAACAATAATAATAATAACAATAGCAGAATCGATTTGGGGATGAATTTGGAGCACCACCACCAGCACCACCAGCAACACCACCAGCACCACCAGCAAAATCAGCCGCAGCAAAGCGACAGCGAAGACGAAAACCCGAAAGATTCGCAATGATATATGAGATCAAAACCCCCATTTGAATATTTTCAAATTTGCAGAACTTCTTTTCTTATATTTTTTTCTTTTTGAATCTTATTGCTCAATGATTTCAGAGTTGTTGGTCTTTTTCAACTGTCATTGTTATTATTCATGGTTCTTGAATTAGGGCATTTTCATTTCTTCAAGTAGGAAGTATGTGTGGCTTTATGTGTGAATATTGTAGTAATTTTTTATCCATTTTTTTTAGCAGAAAAATTCAGTGCAAAATCCAAGTCTTGAAAAATGTGAGAAGTTGATTTTGGATTATTTTTAATGGTCACTGTATTCACTTAATTCTGTGCTAAAAAGCTGAGTGATCAAGGTATGAATCTGATTGGATGACTGTGGCTCTGCTGCTATAATTGTTTGACCTTTTCATGAGGGGCCATTAATTATTTTTTATATTATTTATTTTCTTACGTGGATTGCTAATGGGTTGGAAAATATTATTTTTTATTATTTGTTTAGCTTATCTGGAACATTGTGGATACCATTCATGCCGACACTCTGTTCTCTCTGAAACTAAAAAAATGTAAATATATAATATTTTTATTATTATACATTTACAGAAAAAATGAATAAATTTCTCAAAATACAGTTTCTTGTACACATAAGAATTTTTCTTCAACAGGCGCAATTAAAGGGATGGAGAAAATAGCCGTCAATAAATCATTATATAATGTACATATATTGGCTTTATACAACGCGTTTGGGATTATTTAATTATTTATTAGTTGGAAGTGCGACAAAAGGGTATGAAGAAAATTGGGGTTAATCATTATATATAATATTGGCCTTTCTTGGATTATTTCATTTGGCATTCCCATTAACTCAATAATTGATTCTCTCTCTCTCTCTCTCTCTCTCTCTCTCTCTCTCTCTCTCTCTATCTAAACATGAAACACATTTTCATTTTTTCGAATTAAGCTGTTGTGTTTTACCAGATTAATGCATGCAATAAACACAAATATTCTTGGGGCCACTATATAATCAATCATTTGGAAGCAAAAACAAAAATACTCAAATTAGATAGATATCACATAATCTCAATCACAATTCAATAATTAAAGTAATTAGGAATATATATATAATAGATATATGATAAAAGAAAAGAAAAGGAATAAAAGAGGCGAATCAGGTCACTTTGTTTTGTCTATCTTTCTTCTGATAGCCTAATTTCAGAAAAAGCATGCTACTGCTTTTCCTCTTCCCTTTGTTTCTCTTTACTAAAATCCCCAATTACATTGGATCCCTTCTACTTTTTATTCATTGGCTACAATTTCTATCTTCAAGAATTAAAAGCTACTCAGAGACTGGATAAGCTGAAGCTATATATATATATATATATATATATATATATATATATATATATATATATATATATATATATATATATATATATTAGGGCTGGAAAATAATTACCGCCTACCGAATACCACGGTATACCTACCAAACAATATCGAAAAATTACCGAAACTTCGGTAACCACTACATTTGGTACGGTATTGGTACCGTACCACTATTATACGGTACGGTAGCGGTATTGTATTTTCAATACCATGGTACTACCGTACCGTACCACAAATTTGAATTTTATAATTTAATTAATATATATTTATTTTATATTGGTTAATAATTAATTAAAATTAAAATTACTACATAAAATAAATAGGTCACAACTTAAAAAGTTAAAATACATTTCTTAAAAATTTGTGAGACAACATTGAAGCTTAGTGTAACAAAAAAACGTACATCCCATTTGGTTTTCACTGAAATAGTAGAGCTGCAAATTGAGATTGAAAAAATAAATCATGACTCTAGTAATCTTATTTTGCAAGGTGTGGCTAAATCACTGAAGTTAAAGTTTGATTAATATTCAAGGAGCTTTGAAAAATTGAATAAGATCATATAAATAGCCAATGTTCTTGTTTAAAGTGTTGTGTTTTTATAAAGATCGTCTTCAAAGTATAACAAATTAAAATTAACGGTAGAGTACCATGTACCGATATACCGTACCGAAAGTAATGGTATGCCGAATAACGGTATACCGCACTTATTGGTACGGTAGCGGTATCGAATTTTCCAATACCATATAATTTGGTAGGTACACGGTATTGATCAAAATATTCGGCAACCGTACCGAAACCACCCCTAATATATATTGTAAATACAAAAAGAAAATTCTTTATGTACTTATTATTTTTATAAGCAATTTTTACATTTAAGTTCAAAAATATTAATGGAAAGCAACAACTTTTTCTACCATTTGACCTCCTGAAGTGTTGTACAGAGAGAAAAAATTGTTGGATATTTCCATAGAAAGCATATAATGATGACTCCAAGGATAACAGATACAGCTGGGGGCATCTTATTACAGGGCATCAAATATTTTGAACTTATTGTACATTAATTTTTTTTTTCCAAAAGTAATGTCTGTTCCAGCAATACATCACTTGTATGCAATACCATTTTTGGAACACTAATTTTTACTTGTAATAATACTACTACCCATACTCCCACTGTACACTCTAGTTTTTCAGCAATAATACATAGGGGAATGTGTCAATTATTTGGCTGAAACCAAGTGTTTAACAAAATTCACATGATTACTAATTTGCAAGTAAAAATGCTACCAAATCTGCGATTTTTCGCCAGAACATAAATCGGATATAACAATGTTCATCGATAACGTGCATATGTAATAGAATAAAAGTATCCAAGAAATCTGATTATTGACAAACAATGAGAACAAACCAAACTACTATTTTCCAGACATAAAGAGCAAATAAACACAGCACGGTGTCGAATTGAAAGCTTAAAAGAAGTGATCAATTTTCTTGAAACAATAGCATAATGGCTTTTTATAGTCTACAAAAAGCACTTAAGAAAACTCGTTTATTATGGCAAAAGATTATTTAATTTCAAAAGAGATATTACCCAGAAGCAGTCTTCTTCTGCTGAAAGACGACTGCAAAAATGGGTACACCGACACCAATGCTGAAGGCAGTAAGGACGGCAAGAGACATTGTTAGTTTCTGGTACTTCATCCTGTCCAAGTTGTACATGTGCTTTGCGTGAAGGTAGTACGGTTCGTCGTGACCATGTCCTCCCATTTGCTTCACGCTAGTTGAGTGAATCCCCCTGTTCGCTGTAATACAAACAATTTCACTTTTTCATACGTCGAATTATATGATACAACCCTAATTAGTAGTCAGTTTGGCAATTCTTCATACATTTTTTTCTCTTAGGCCCTGTTTGGTTTGTATTATCGGAAAATGAACTCCTATCTTGGCTTATTGGGGAGACTTTGCATTGGACCTCATCTAATCTAATTATACAATTGGATTCTCGTAAGATTGGGTAATCTTATCTTGGGAACCAAACAAGGCCTTAATCTAATGGAACTACTATTACAACTCCATATTTGGAGTTGAATCTTTTAACCCTTACATGCCAAGATGATTACTGATCTAAGTGAAGTTCAACTGACAAGATGTGTGCTGATCTAAGTGAAGTTTAACTGATTGTCTCAACACCATTTATTTAGTATATAAATAACACAATTTAGATCCTCGATGTTCATACAAAAATTGGAAGATGATAGTTCGAAGAGATCACAATTAGATCATTCACATATATATTCTACAAACCAAAAATCATTTCCATAAAACCTACAGCAGTGTAGCATTTATATTCAATTTAACCAACCTAGTCAAGATAGTTAAACAAATCGAGATATGTCCGTATACCATATATTTCTTTTTCAGTGATAGTTTTTACATAACAAGAAGTCAAGAGAATTTAGTTCATTCACTATATTGATGTACTCCCAGTATCTATTTCTCACTGGAATATCTCAATCACGGCAGACTAAGTTGGTTACAGTGGAAAGCATATGCATATGATATAGCAGACGACAATCCTAACTAGCAATGCATACAATGGAAACATATAACTATTTTTTCTACACTATTCCATATTATCTAGATTTGTATGTATTGACAGTTGATATCCAAAACATTGACATGAAACAGTTCAAGATAAAATACTAATGTTCGATATAAGACACTTCCTGCATACGATACGATTGTACCAAACATGAAATTTTGAAAATGTAAATGGATAAGACAAACAAAATTCCACAAGGAAATAAAAAACGAGATAGAAACAAGAAACAAGAAACTATTTGAATACAACATCTTTTTTTTAATCATTTTGTCGCTTTCAACTATCCATAAATCCTTCTTTAATATTTCTATGAATGAGATCGTAATAAAAAATCTTGTTGAAACGTAAGAAGTTATGAGATGAAACCAACAATTAGCTTATGAAAACTTTTTGAATGCAGCATATATTGCTCATGAAAACAAACTCATGACAATCCATGAGACTTCCACTGTTTAAAATCAGATTCACCATGCAACTGACTCATTCCATCTCTCTAGAGTACAAACAAGACTCAAACCACCGAAAAAAATCCTAAAGAATGCAAAGCTCGAATGAAATAATCATATGCATGAATGAAACTTCATGAGCTTATTTGCATGTTTCCATTCACTTACTTCTTCGACAAACGAAACGAGAAAAAAAGGTAAACGTTCAGATATGACACAAAATTGACAAACCGTATTAAATCTATCTTTTCTGACCATTAATGTGCACAGACATACACAATCCTTGGTAAAACAGAATGTTCACATACATATAAGCCAGAACCTGTGTCGCATATTACATACAGCAAAAATTATAAATACAACCTCCTTTACCCTTTTTCGTACACAAACAAATTGGATTCAGCCAAATTGACATCTTCAACATTCAGAAAAGCAACTACCGATTATGCAGAGAAGTCGAATAAAATGCCAGAAAATCTAGGTCAACCATTCAATTCATCCAAACAATGAAAATAAAAGAGATGAATCAATTGCGACCGAAGCTAAATCAATTGCGACCTAAGCTAAATCAACTGCCACCGAAGCTAAAACAGTAATCAACGACGTCAATTACTAACATGTAAGCCTCCACACATTTCTACATTTCTACGCACGAATATTCAAAAATATTACTCGTAAACATAAAATTGTGAAGCATAACAAACAAATCAAGCAAACAGATCTGTATAAATATTACCAGCTGAAAACAGAAGCGACGAAATAAGAAAATCAATGGAGACCTAAGCTAAATCAATTGCGACCTAAGATAAAAAGCTAATCAAAGACGTCAATTACTAAAATGTAATCCTCCACACGGTCTACATTTCTACGCACGAATTTCAAAAATATTACTCGTAAACATAAAATTATGAAGAATAACAAGCAAATCAATCAAACAGATCTGTATAAATATTACCAGCTGAAAACAGAAGCTGCGAAAAAAGGAAAACAAAAATCAATCGAGAGAGAAGGCAGACCTGATTTGGAAACAATCGATGGGGAAGCATTTAGTAGCTTGGAAGCGCATGATCTGAGGCCGTTGTTCATCGCCATTCCACTACACGGTAAACAGAAGCTGCAGAGGGAAGTATCGCAAATGGATGAAAATGGAGGAGGAGCGATGGCAATCTGGAAAACGAGGGTTTGCTTACTACCCCTATTCCTTGGGCGACTGATTCAGAAACCGCATGCGCATTGCACGTGCGATGCTAGGATGGGCTTGATGTTCGCCTTGTTTACTGGGCCTGTTTACTCAAACTTCTGATTTCTGTTCAATACATAAAAATAACGGGCCCGTATACTTTTACAAAATAGGCTCAATTAAATTCAAGAAATAAAACAAATTGCAATTCCTTTCTCCCCAACTTCAAAAAACGGCGCTCTCACGTATTTTAATTTTTACCGCTCTTTCTCTCTCCTGTGGGCTTCTTCTCACTCATCTCCCTCCCCCAAAAAAACCCCAAATTGGAAGCTGGAACCACTAAATTAATGTAGTCGTCGTTTGTGTCGATTACTTTACGCGGTCGTTTTGTATCAAAATTTCCAACCTTCACGGAAGACTATTTTATGGCTTCCATTTCCACTCATCTGCACATCGTAGACGATGACGATGTAAGTTCAATTCGTTAATTGATAATTCCATGTCTTGCCATTTTACCACAATTCATTCAAATGGGCTTTTTTTTTTTTTTTATTCCATCTATTTCAATTTTTTTTGGTGTATTAGGAATTTGATTGGGAAGCAGCTGTGCAAGAAATTGATGTGGCATGCCAGGCAACTAATGCTGAAAAACCCACCTTCATTTCCAATTTTAACTGTGGTTCAGAAATTAAATCGAATCCTGTTCAAGAAGTGCAGAAAAAAAGAAAATTTGATTCTAATTTTAGTTCAGTCTCTTCAACTAGGCAATCCACATTAGATAGATTTGTCGGGTTTTCATCGAGTTCTAAAAAATCCGTGCAAAAGGTGGAATTTTCAAATGGGTTTTTCGGAAATACTAGTAATAGCGATAGTATTGGTCATAAGAATGTTGTTGGGTGTGAAGATACTGAGATGCTTGATGAATTTGTTAAGATTGATGCCGAGGCTGCCAAGACCTGGATATATCCCGGTTAGTTTCTTCGGTTCTTCCCCTAAAAGTTTTCCTTTACTTTTTGTATGTGTTGATTTTTTTAATTTTGGCATGTTCAATACTGAGGTTTTGAACTTGTAAGATTCACTTTTCTCTGTTTATGGCAGTGAATATCCCACGTCGTGATTATCAATTCTCTATCACGAGGACTGCACTATTTTCGAATACTTTAGTTGTATTGCCAACGGGACTTGGAAAAACTCTTATTGCTGCCGTTGTCATGTACAATTATTTCAGATGGTTTCCTCAAGGTAAGGCGATCCTATACTTTTTCAGACTCTGTTTTTATCTTTTTTCGTTTGCTACATGACGGCTAAACAGTAGAAAATTATGTGTCCTTGCATATGTTTATGTTGTCCTGAACTCAGTACATTTAGACGAATAATTTGAAAACGAAACAGGACTTGTCAGGCTAAAAAAATGAATTCAATGGTGAAAAGTGAAGTGATAAACGTACATTGTTGAGCTCAATATATTCATGGAAACATAACTGTGACAGATCGTTAATTAGAATTTTGCAGGATGAGCAGTTAAATCATGTATACGATGACCATGGTGTTGATTTTCTTTTTTATTTGTTAAAAATATTATGTTCGAAACCTTTTTTTAAGCAGTATTGACAATATCTTTTTCTGCATCTTTGGTAGGAAAAATTGTTTTTGCTGCTCCATCTCGACCACTCGTAATGCAACAAATAGAAGCTTGCCACAAAATTGTCGGAATTCCACAAGTAACGCAACGATTACAGTTTTCTTGGACTTGCATTTGCTTATGTTCCATGTAGGGGAATTTGCATAACTTGAGAAATTTGTCATTTAACATATTGCAGGAGTACACAATTGACCTAACAGGCCAGACTAGTCCTACGAAAAGAGCAGAGTTTTGGAAAAGTAGACGAGTTTTTTTTGTTACTCCACAAGTTTTGGAAAAGGATATACATTCTGGTTTGTTTTCCAATTTGTTCTGATGTCTTAATTTAAGCCTTGTAATACACGTGGCAAAAATAGAAGTCATCTGATGTACGATCCATTTTTCTGATTACACTCTCCGGTTTGACATTTCCTTTTGTCCTTTGGTTATGTTGAATATTGTTTTCTAATAAGAACAACCATGCTTTTAGAAGGAAAATTTAACTAGATTTGCTTAGATCTCAGTAGTTTATTTATTTGAGTTTATGTTGTAGGCTCATGTTTGGTGAAGCATCTGGTCTGCTTGGTGATCGATGAGGCACATCGAGCTATGGGAAACTTTGCTTACTGTGGTGTAGTCCGTGAGGTTTGTCATTTCATTCTGAGAAATATTTTCCTATTTATCCTTTTTACAGAAGTTCAATGCATTGCCATTGGAATTTTCGAGAAATTTGATTACACGAGCTCTAAGATTACTAGTAAAACTTCGGAAATCGTAAGCTTAGCAATATTTTGTCAGAGTAGTAAGGGGATGGATTTAGATATTTGAACAATTTTGGAGCTATATGTAAGAGAAGCACATAGATGAGCGAAATTTCTAGCCAATCGTTTAGATTTCATGATCACTATTACATTTACTTCAAATATTAAGTTGACACTGCCTCTATGATTTTGCAGTTGATGGATACTTCTGTTCAACTAAGAATACTAGCACTGACAGCAACACCAGGAGGTAAGTACTCTGCAAAATCACCAAAATGATTTGGCATATAGTTGATTTTGACATTCTTACTTCTTTCCCAAAATGATTTTTATCGGTTGCAACTCAGCTAAACAGCAGACAATTCAGCATGTAATCAACAATCTTCAAATATCTACACTTGAATATCGAGATGAAAGTGACCCCGATGTACTTCGTTATGTGCACGAAAGAAAGATAGAACTGATTGAGGTAGTAATAACTGTGTTTATTTGCTTCGTTCTACTCTATAAAATACATATGAGAATAACCGTATTCTGTTAGGTTGCGATGGGTGATGAAGCAGTTGAAATAAATAATCTGCTTTTGAAAGTAATACACCCATTGGTTGGCCGTCTTCGTGCATTTGGACTCCTTCAGAACAGAGATATTCAGACAGTATGTTCCAAGTTTGAGATGCATTATTATTTGTTCATGTACTTAGTTTATTTTGTAGTTTTTTCAGCCTAGATATTTCAGCTGTAATTTATGAACATGTGTTTGTAATTTACAGATGAGCCCGCATGATTTCCTGATTTCAAGGGATAGATTTCGCCAAGAGCCGCCTCAAGACCTTCCTCATATAAAGTATGGAGAAATTGAAGGTTATTTTGGAGTTCTTATAACATTGTACCACATCAGGAAATTGCTTTCAAGCCATGGAATAAGACCAGCATTTGAGATGCTTGATGAGAAAATTAAACAAGGGTACGCAAGGTTTATTATAAGTTCTTTCATTTTTTATTCAAGAATAGATGAGTACCAAAGTTTTTATTTTTCGAGAATCTTTATTTGCGGATATTCCTGCACTTATACACAATCAAATATTGTTTTCGCAGGTGTTTTGCACGGCATATGAGTAGAAATGAAGATTTTTTGAAAGCAAAACTTTTAATGCAGCAAACTCTTTCCCATGGTGCCCCCAGTCCCAAATTGGCAAAAATGCTGGAAGTACTGATTGGCCATTTCAGTATGTAATACGAGACTATTACTTTCTGTCTGTGTCATTTTCTCAAATACGATGAACTTAATTCTGCATGGAAGATTTTGTCGTTAGTTGCTGTCTTTTCCAATTCACTATTTGTATTTATATGGCAAAGAAAAATACAGTCCAATTTACATTCGTAAGATTTGGTGCAGAAATGAAGGATCCACAACACTCCAGGGTCATCATTTTTTCAAATTTTAGAGGTAGTGTCAGGTAAAGGTGGTTTTTCGTCTCATCAAAGTATCATACATATTTTTCTGAAACTAGAAATATAAGCAAAATGAGTGCTAACGGCAAATAAATTATCAGGGACATACTTAATGCACTGACAGATATTGGGGATTTTGTTAAAGCTACTGAGTTCATTGGACAAAGCGCAGGTTCATTGTTCTACTCTCCTTATCCAGTATTCTATTAAATTTGTGACAATGGTTGGTAGTCCTTTATCGACTTCTATTGGTATTCTATGCAGGAAAAACCTTAAAAGGACAATCACAGAAAATTCAACAAGCAGTTTTACAGGTAATTCTTTTCTAGATTAGTGATCTTCCCCATCGTCGGTGGTTTTATTTGACTTGTTTCTGTAGAAATTTCGGACAGGTGGGTACAATGTCATTGTTGCAACATCAATCGGTGAAGAAGGTCTAGATATCATGGAAGTTGATCTTGTCATATGCTTCGATGCTAATGTCTCCCCTTTGAGAATGATTCAGCGAATGGGGAGGACTGGAAGAAAGCATGAAGGACGAGTTGATATCCTTACGTGCATATCTTGCTTCTTAAATCTTATATATAATTGATAGATACAGAATCATGACATGTATTCATTTCCGAAGCAGCATTTTCCTTAATAAGCTTACTAGTTTTAGCATGCGAAGGGTCGGAGATGAAGGGTTATACACGAAAGCTAGCAAGTAGCAAAACTGTTACGAAACACATGAGAAATGGTGGGATGAATAGCTTTAACTTCCATCCCAGCCCAAGAATGGTATTATTTTTCTGCATACAATCTCTTGATTTTCTCACGAAAGTAGAAAAGTAAGAAGTTTGTCACTATATCCTTTGCATACGATTTGCAGGTTCCCCATCTTTTCAAACCAGAGGTGCAATTTCTCGAGATGTCAATTAAAGAATTTGTTCCTCGTGGAAATAAACTGAAAGATAATGTCCCTGTCTCGGTGCCCGGATACAAGACCGAATTAACCGATTCCGAGACTGGTTTACTTGCCAAGTATTTTAAGTCTACGAGTGATACTTGGATACCATCTCTTACTGTCTTTCCTCACTTCCAGGCATTTCCTTCCCCTGTAAACAAAGTGTTACATTCATCTAGAACAGGGTTCCTAATAGATACGATGCAATATTTGCAAGGGCTAACATTTGATGATGACAGCAAAACTTTTTCGGCAGAGGTTTGTAAGCTGTTGTTGGACTTGTTTTACACTCCATTTTCTATCCTTTTGTGATTAATTTGATTCGTTATCTTGATTCAGCATGAAGATATTTCAGAACCTTGCGTCAGAGTCGAAGAAGTGGAGCCTCATGAAGAAATAATAGAAGGTAACAGCTTGAAAACAGGACGGGCCTTTACATTCTCGGTGATTTATCGTTGTTCAGTATTTTTCTAATTCAGCTCGTTTAATATGTCTAGATTCAGAGAATTTTGGTCCTGCTGAAGAGAAATTGGAAACAGAAGTACCGGAAACTGAAATAGAATTCAAGAAATTTGCTAAGGATATAGACTTTGAGGACTTCGACAAACAAAAACCGTGCCTACATGCTCCTCTATTTGGTTCGGAATTTGTATCGATTGATGATGTTGGAAATGTCCAGATCTCATCCTTACCGGAACTGCCGCTGCAATTTAATGCTAAATGCACGATCGATGACAATATGGTTCCCGAATATCTTTTGGTGCCCGATTCAGAAGATCATGAAGAGGACACTGTGCATGATGCTAACGGTAAAGATGAGGATGAGGACATTCTCAACACCCCAATTTCCAGCAGAATGCCAAAAGAAAAGGAATCGAGCAATGATATTATAGATTGTGAGCTTAGCCCAAGGCTGACTAATTTCATCGAAAGTGGAGTTGTTCCAGAATCTCCTATACATAGTTCTGGTTTGTATTTTCGTACACTTTCTTTCGTCGTACCATTTGTATACATGTATCAGTATCAATGTTTATATCTGCAATCATATACGTACAGGACCATGGAATGGCGGCAGAGGTAATTTCGCAGTTCCTGCTCTCGTTTCCTCCCCGAATTTGGAGACTGAATTCTCGGTAAAGTCCTTGAATCTTGAAGATAAGCCACTATCAGTTTCGAAAGAAATGCAAACTCCTAAACTATCGAACTCGAGCAACAGCAAAGACTGGCTTTTCGATTCTGGGGTAAGGCCTGAAACAGTTGAGCAGCAATGTAAGTTCAGAAGGTTGCGCAAGCTTGGGGATGTCAAAAGGAATATTCCTTCAGAATCCAGAGAACGAACTGGGCCTAGTAGAAAACATGGAACTTCTAGAGGGACCCACGACCGTAGACCGGCTAAGCTTGTTAAAGGTAAACTTATTTGGTTTCGTGTACTTTCAAAACTTGAAGTGGTATCATCTGAGAATTATGTTTCTTCTGCATTGCTAACTCTCTCTCTCTCTCTCTCTCTCTCTCTCTCTCTCTCTCTCTCTCTCTCTCTCTCTCTTGTGTCATTTAGGTGAAAAGAAACGAGCAAATGATGCTGTACTCTATATCGATGAGGAAGCAGAGTAAGTTCATCATCAGAGATTGTCAATGCTCGATCAACTACTTGTTTCGTTTTCTCTGAAGTTTTCAAATGATAATCGATATTGTCCTGTTTAGGGTTTCACCGGAAATTATGGCATCTGATGACGAGGAGGATGAACCGGAAAACAGTTCTTACGAAGACAGCTTTATAGATGATGGTACAAATACTGCAGCAACTAGTACACAAGCCTGTGACAGTAGAACCGATATGATGGCAATTTACAGGTTTGTCACTGTCTTTCTTGATATTTTTTCAATTATTCTGTCTTTTTGACGTTATATTACGTTTGATTTTGGCAGGAGATCATTGCTCAGTCAATCTCCATTTCAAAGATTTCCCAACTTTGACACAAAGTCTAGTCCCGACTCTGTGGTTCAAAGTAGCAGAATCGATGAAAGTGGGAGTTCATCAGGAACAAAAAACGACGACGCTAAAACTCGTGGCTGCTTTGACTCAACTGCTATGAATTCTCAATTTACATTAGATAGTCGTAAAAGAAAGTTGAGCTTTCACCAAACAGCTCAATCAGTACCGGTAGTTAATCTAAACCAGGAGTTCTTGTTGATCGCTGAAGCTGCATGCGAAAAATCGTCCATGCAGAGACAAGAAGAACGAACTGAGGAAAACATAGATATATTCGAAGACGACCAATTCTACGAAGGTATAGATCTTGATGCAATTGAAGAAGAAGCTGCAAAACTACTCAGGCAGAAAACAGAGTGTCTAACTCCGAAAACAGCAACTTTACCCGAGCCTATTGAACAAAATCTTGCAATTTTGGGCTCTCCCTCCTTTGATCTCGGATTTTGATTCTTTTGGTTCATGGAATAATTGGAAGGATTATAGTTTACTAATGTAGAATATTAGGGTGCAAATATATTTATTGAGACCAGAAAGTTGTAGTGATGATGTAAATAGAACGGAGAGGAATTTTGTATATGAAAACGCACTCTTGTGCAGTCTTGGTTTCGTTTTATGATCGACTCGTTGGTTAGTAGGTTTTCGTTAAAGCCTCCTTTTGGCTGTTTACTATGTTTATGCTAATTCTTTAAACCGTTCTTACTTCTTACTGATCGAAGAAAAATAAAAAACGAATTTCCTTTTCATTTCAACAAATAATTTCAGGAACATCAAGACATTTGAATAATACATCACTTATTACACAAGTTTATTACAAATGGAATTTCACAAAGTCCTTTGGATTAATATATATATATATATATATATATATATAACTGCCTTTACACACCAAAATATTTTCTATCTCCCACCACCCAATGTTGGCACAACCATCTGATCTCGAATGCTATCATATCCAACAGTAGTGTAATTACCATCACCACCGCCATTGACAACAAATTCATTCAATCGCTCACGAAGCAAAGATTCCGTCTCTTCTCCATCTTCTCCTTTCCGGGCCCACGCGTGCTTTCCGCCGAGCCTCAAACCTTCCAACTCCATAGCCACCTCCGTCATACTAGGCCTATCTTCACCTCTCACATACAAGCACCCTTTCGCAAGCTTCGCAACTTCCGTTATTTGCTCCCTACTTTTCTCGTCTCCCATAATACTATCATCAACGACTTCTATTATTCGATCTTGCTTCAGCATCGAAAGAAAAAAGTAGGATAAATTCTTCTCCTCCTCCGGTTTGTCAAAGCATATCGCCCCCCTACCGGTTAGTAGCTCCAATAGTACAACTCCGAAACTATAAACATCGCTTTTCTCGGTCAACTGATTTGTTTGCATATATTCAGGATCAAGATAACCGAAAGTTCCTTGCACCATAGTAGAAAGCTGAGCGTGATCTATGGGAACCAATCTCGAAGCTCCAAAATCAGCCACTTTAGCTGTGAAAGTGTGATCTAAGAGAATATTGTCTGATTTCACATCTCTATGTATGATCGGTGTAGAAGCCGAAGAGTGTAGGTACGAAAGCACACCGGCAGTTTCTGCAGCTATTCTTAAACGAGTCTCCCAATTAAGATAACATGCCTTTTCTCGATTGTGCAGGTGTGAAGAAAGTGTGCCATTGTCTACGAATTCGTAAACAAGAAGGGGTACTTCGGTTTCGAAGCAACAACCTAGTAGCCTGACCACATTCCTGTGGTTGACTTGAGAAAGAATAAGTACCTCGTTTATGAATTGCTCGGTTTGGTCTGGATCGACTCTTTTCGACCTTTTTATAGCCACTGTATTGTTGTCTGATAGTAAACCCTTGTACACAGTGCCGAAGCCACCTTGGCCGATGATCATGTCCTTACTGAAGTCGTTCGTTGCCTTTTGCAGCTCGGCTGAAGTGAAGATCTTCACCATGTCTTGCGATCGTTCTCGTGTAGCTAGTTTTTCGAGTAACATGAAACCGCCATTTTGAAGAAAGTGCTCTTCCTTTCTTCTGTTGGATTTCCTTCTTTTGAGCTCCAAGTACAGCAAACAAGCAGCCAACATTAGAATTATCACACCTAGTGCACTACCTGTTCAAGAAATCGAAAAACAACAAAAAACCCGAAAAAGACTAAGTCCTCGTTTGGTTCCTAAGATAATTGAAAAATCCAAAATAATAACTAATACCTGCAACAAGTTTTATCGTAAGCGATTCGCCACGATGGCAATCATCTCCATCTTTATGGTACCCTTTCTGGCAAAGGCAGTAAAAACTGCCTTCTGTATTCTCACAGCCATGTTTGCACTTGCTTACACTTGCGTCTTCACATTCATTTATATCTGCATTAATTATTAAACAACAATTAATTAATGACATATATGTATATGTATATATATCTATATATATATATATATATATATATATATATATATATATATATATATATATATATATATATATATATATATATATATATATATATATATATATATATATATATATATATATATATATATATATATATATATATATATATATATATATATATATATATATATATATATATATATATATATATATATATATATATATATCTAATTACACAAAAATTGATAAAAACCATGCTTACCAACACAGCCACTGGTAAGATAAGGGTTTCCATCATAACCGTCGAGGCAGCGACACCTGTACCCATAGCCATCTTCAGGTTTGTAGCATGCAGAATTAGGGCTTACGCAAGCATAGCTGGTTTTGTTGGTCAGCGCCTCCTCGCACGTGCCGTTTCCGATGGCCCAGTCGACCACAAGAGGAAGCTTCTCGAAGTTTCTTAGGTTTGTGAGGCTGTCACGTGAGAATTTGAAAGCGGATTCCTCGACGAGGAAAGCGTGGCCGCAGTTGTTGAAATCGGAGACGTTTATGTAGTTCCCGAAACTCCCCAATTCCATAACTACCCTCCACACATCCTCCGGTATCGAAGTCTGGCAGCAGCCGGAGCCCGTGCAGGAGCCTTCCTCCAGATCTTCGAGGGACTCGCACTTGGCGATGCAGCCGGTGGTGTACTTCCGGTTCAGGCGGTTGCCGGAGACGTAGCCGTACGAATCGCAGCCGACGACGGTGAACTTGTTGACGTTGTTGTTGACCGTGAGGTGTATGGGGAGTTCTATGTACGGGCGGTTACTGAAAACTCCGGTGCCGCTCCGGTCGTAGCAGTCGTGCGCGATGAACTGGAGGACCTTGATTTGGCCGTCTAGGGTTATGTTTGTGATCTGAATTTGGCTTTCTCCGAGGAACAATTTGGGGGGGCGGAGGGTTGTGTTGCAGATGACGTGGAAACTTTTGTGTTGGTAGCAGTTCTCCGTCGTGCCGAATGGGTACGGGATGGCTACGCCGCCGCAACTGTCGGCGCAAGTCGGCTTTGCTATGGGGTGGCCGGGATTCTGGGCGGATGCGGGATTTACGGCGGAGATGATGATGATGGGCAGAATCAATGCCAGTGTGCGCAGCAAATTATCCAACCGCCGCCGCCCCATAATATTTTAATTTCGGATGTTAATTACTTTTTTTTTTTTTTGGTTATTATAATTTATGTTATTACACGTTAAAACAAGTTTATTTATATAACCACATACACATATACAAAATTAGTGTGAATATTATGAGGACGAAGACGAAGACGAAGACGAAGAAGTGTGAATATTATGATGAAGAAGAAGTGTGAATAAACACGATAATTATGTGGTTATTTAGTCTTCAGTTCGTCGTTTGCGAAATTAGACGCTACACTTGACTATTTAAAATACGTGTATTTGAACACCTACTATATTTTCTATCTTCCATTATTTTCTATATACATATTTTATACACATCTACAATATATATATAACACTTGTGTTCTACTTCTGTCCATTCTTGACTTAAATATAAGTCTATTTTTTGTTTTTTATAGGGCAAAATTCATTTTGCACCCCTGTACTATGCGAAATGTATCATTTACCCCCCTGAAGTATAGAAAACATCAAACACCCCCCTGCCGTTAGTGTTTTTTTTTTTTTTTTTTTTTTCTTTCTAATTCCGTTAGTCAAACCCTTTGACCGATTATTGCAAAGAAATGTTGGCTTTATTTATTTTAACGAAAATACCCCAAAAAATTTCTAAATATAGGATGCTTCGTTTTGACAAATGTTCACTGGATTTTTCACTTTTTTCCGCCCTTTTTTTTCACTTTATTCAATCATTTTTTTTTTACATTTTCAACCATTTTTCTTATAAAAAAGCTGAATAGTCGATAAATAAGAATGAAGCTTCGCAAATTATAAATGTAAAACCCACAAAAAGGAAAACTAAAAGTCCTGAAATGTAAAAGAAACCATAAAATTGGAATCAAACCATATGAAAGAATCACAAATTAAAAACAAAGCTTTTCATATTATAATGAAAAATTCTTGAAAAAGAAAACCAAGAATAAAATTAAATCCTAAAATCGACAAAAAACCCTAATTTGAACGAACGCTAGAAATCGTCAACAATCCACAAAAAATATGCCTAGAAAAAATTAGGAATTACATCAAACTTAAAAACAGGGTAAACGAGTCATTGGGCACTCAAAATTTAACACCGTTAAAATTTTGACCATTGACCATTAAAAGTAGGGGGGTGTTTGATGTTTTCTATACATTAGGGGGGTAAATGATACCTTTCACATAGTACAGGGGTGCAAAATGAATTTTACCCTTTTTTATAAGCAAATAAATAAATAAATAAAAATAAAAATAAAATCCTAGTTGCGACGATATAGCATCATGGAAAGCTATTTTTTGCTGTCGATTATGAATGTAAATGCATGAATTGACTTTCTGGAATCTTTTTTTCTACCAAATGCATAATTTTTTATTTTAAATTTTAATTTTTAATTATTTTTATTAATACAAATCTTCAACGTACAGGTGAGCCCATTTGGGCCATTAGGCCCAAGTCTTGGACTTGTGTTGACTTGGTCATATTAATTCTATTGGCCCATTATATATGTTGCTCTATAAAATTGGCTACATTAGCCCATTTCCAATTAATTAATTAATTATAATCTATTATTGATTTGAATTCATTTTTCTCTAAAAAATCGATAATTATTTCTGAAATTATTTATTTATAAAATTTTCATTTAGTAAAAAAGTATATCCAATTTCACAATTATGAACATACAATTAATTAATTAATTCGAAGTTATATAAAATTAAAAGAAAAAAAAAAAAAAATTCAAAATCTGTTTCCCTAAAAAGAAAAAACCCTTGTTGGCACCGAAAACCCAACCCCAAACTCTGCTTCGTCTTCTTCAGCACCGCCCCCTTCTCGTTATACTTACACACACACACACACGTATATATATATATAGATACAAGAGTACAACCTCGTACGTACAAACTTTGCATCCATAATTTGTGGGTGTGAGATGCGCGATAGCTATGCAGAAGCTGCTGCGCAGGAGCCCCGCCGCCTCCGGCCCCCATATTCTATCCGTTAATACTTCGCTCTCGCCACCCCTCTCCACCTCCACCACTTTCTCTCTGGGTTTTTGCGGCGGAGGAGGAGCCTCCAAATTTGTCAAAACGATGTCTTCTTCTTCTTCCACCGCCGCGCTCCGACACCTCCAACCCTTCCACCGCCCGAGAAACCCTTTCTCCACGGCGGCCGCCGCTCATAGCCTCCGCCTCGCGAAAATGCCCTCCTCCGGTTTCCGTCCCTGCAGTTGCTCCGTCGAGAAAATAAGCGGTAGTGTGCCGCCGTCGAGGGCTTGGGTAGTTTTCAAAGAGAGTAATTACGGTAGTGTAGGAGCCCCTTACAGAGCTTGGTTTTGTACGCTTGCCGGTAATTCGGATAAGGTCTCCGGTGAATTATCAACTGAGAGTGAGGTAGTGGACGACGCCGAAAATGCGAAAGCCAGGGTGCAGAGGAGGCAGAGGAGTGGCGGCGGCGGCGGTGGTGGTGGCCCTATGGCGGCGGAGACCCCCGATTTGTTGACAATACCAGGAGTAGGGCCGAGGAATTTGAGAAAGCTGGTGAAGAAAGGCTTTGAGGGTGTAGCTCAGCTCAAACAGCTCTATAAAGAGAAGGTATCGAAACTTATATCGTTGATTTTGTGTTTACTTCGATTATTTAAGCAATGCGGATTAATGTTATCTTTTTCGTGCATCGAATGTTTGTTTATGAATTTAAATGGTTTTTCTAGTGCACTTAAGCTGTAATTCATATGCAAGATTGTTTTAAGGTGTAATTGTAGCTTTACATATGGTCAGCACAAATAATTCATTTTTTCGTTTAACATGCTTATATTTTCGAAAGTTATTTAAACGCTCGATTTATGCGTAGGCCCGGTTCTTCGGTAATAAATGTGTATTTGTGGTGCAGTTTTACGGGAAATCGAGTGAGAAAATGGTGGAGTTCTTGCAAAGCTCTGTGGGTATAATACACAAAAACCACGCCGAGAGTATAACCATGTTTATCAAAGAGAGTGTCGATGGAGAGCTGAAGGAGAATGATGTGAAGCCGGCTCAAAAGAAGCGAATCACTCTATGCGTCGAAGGAAATATCAGTGTTGGGAAGAGCACTTTTCTGCAGAGAATAGCTAATGAAACCCTCGAGCTTAGAGACCTTGTGGAGGTTGTTCCGGAACCTGTTGCCAAGTGGCAGAATATCGGTCCTGACCACTTTAACATATTAGACGCTTTTTACGCCGAGCCCGAGAGATACGCTTACACCTTCCAAAACTACGTGTTTGTTACACGAGTTATGCAGGAGAGGGAATCTTCAGGTGGCATCAAGCCTCTCCGATTAATGGAAAGAAGTGTTTTCAGTGATAGAATGGTAATTAATTATTTTGCTTTTTCTGAGATTACGATTTGTTTCTTTTTTTTTTCTGATTTTTTATTTTTTATTTTTTTATGTGAAGGTGTTTGTGAGAGCTGTTCATGAGGCGAAGTGGATGAACGAAATGGAGATAAGCATTTACGATTCGTGGTTCGATCCAGTTGTTTCGAGTTTGCCGGGACTTATTCCGGATGGTTTTATCTACCTTAGAGCTAGCCCCGATACTTGCCACAAGCGTATGATGCTGCGTAAGAGATCCGAGGAAGGTGGTGTTTCTCTCGATTACTTACGAGACTTGCATGAAAAGCATGAAAGCTGGCTTTTCCCATTCCAAAGCGGGAATCACGGAGTTTTGTCTGTGAGCAAATTGCCGAGCGATGTTGACTGGTCTTTGCATCCTAATATACGGGATCAAGTCTTTTATTTAGATGGTGATCATATGCACTCGAGCATCCAAAAGGTCTTTAGTTTCGACTATTTATTTCATCTTGGCATAATTGCTACAATCTTGAACTATTGATAATTTAAAAAAAAAAATCTAAATATCGAACTTACGGTGGTTTTTGCAATTAGCAGGTTCCTGCATTGGTTCTTGACTGTGAGCCTGATATCGATTTTACCAAAGACGTAGAAGCCAAGCGCGAGTATGTTTGTTCCCTTTTCCTTCCCTTCTACGTGAAATTCGCCGCCACTCGTAATTTATGTTATCTAAATTCTTTTGTTTGTGTTGCGTGTGAAGGTATGCACGTCAAGTTGCAGAGTTCTTTGCGTTTGTGAAGAACAAGAAAGAAGTTCCTTGCCCTAACATTGGAGAAGAAGCTTCTAGAAAGAGCGACCAACGTCAGGTATTGATGCCCCATAATGGAAATTTGTGGATGCCCGGTACGCAGCCGTTCCCCGATTCAGCACTTAAGTCGCTCGATTTCAGACGGGCCATGTCGGTAATCTCTTAATATGTTTCTTTCGTCGTGTAAAAAGATGTTTTGACTTTTTTCTTATGATTTCTAGGTATGTAGTTGACTCAGTTGTGGGACTGTATATATAGGTTGCTGTTTTATTTTGTAGCATTTGCGTTTTTGTTTTTGGGGAAAATTTTGTGGATTTTCTAAGGCATGGTGAAAAAAGAACCCTAAAAAGACCAGGCAAAGTTCTGAAAAACTCTTGATTTTTTTTTTTCTTGAAATTTTAATTTGACAATTATTTTCTTTAAGTGTAGTTTAAGCTGTTTGGTTACAATTAAGCTGTTAGTTAATCACATGGTTTGACTTATTTAAGCACACATACACATTTGTGTGAGTATGCTCAAACTAACGGATAAGAATCAACTAGTGAACTTTATCGGATGTAGCATTGAATAAGCAGCGCATACTAACGGATAAGAATTACCTAGTAAACTTCGTCGCATACTAATTGATAAGAATTACTTAGTAAATTTCGTCGGGTGTAGCATCGAATAAGTTAGGTCAATAGATTGGGCCTGGGCACTAATAATAACATCTAATAATAACATCAATAATGGTGATATTATTAAAAGAATTTCAATGACCGAATAAACATAAATAAATCATCAGCAGCCAGAGAAAAAAATATAAATAATCATTAAATTCATTGCATCAAAATAGAAACTGTCATTATATATAACAACTGGCAAACATTACTTTATTTAAAAAAAGAAAAAGAAAAAGAAAAAGAAAAAGAAAAAGAAAAAGAAAAAAGAACTTGACTTGGTTTATAGTCAAGATTTTGACATCCCTACGACCGGACATAAATTAAGAAAATCCATTACCATTTTTATATTTATTCACATCAGTCATCAATATGCAAAAATGAAAAAACTAGTAATAAGTTTCAACCAAACTAACAAAAAAAATATTCAAAAATTCACCAAAAGAAAAATAAAGAAAATTCTCTGAATAATTCCACCATAATCCAAATTTCTCACTATTAGATAAGAAATAGATATAAAATATTATTAAAACTCTAAAATCTAATTAAAATAGAAAAACAAATATTAAAAAATTGTTAAAAAAGTTAATTTCATAATGTGAACTGAACTTGCCCTATTTTCTAACGAAATAAAACGTGACAAATTAAAAAAAAATTGTTTAATAATCCCGCCATTGACGACTTGAGATGAATCTCCACTCATGTCACAGCCAGCCAACACTTAATTAATTCGAAAACAAAATAATTAATTAATTTATGCATGAAGTTGCATTTAAATTAGATTAAAATTAAAATTAAAATTAAAAAATGGAGCAAATTGCACCCAGTCAAATATAATTACGAAGAAACTTCATTAATCTTGCCAAAGACCTAGACAAATTCATTGACTCAGACAAATTAAACCAAAAAACCAGTAGTATATATTTCTGTATAAATCTTCTCTTGTATAACAGAAAATAAATATACAGATTAATTAATTAACAAAAACAAAATGGTTCTTCATCTTCTTCTTCTTCACATATTCATCTTGTTGTTCAGCTCAATTAATCCATCACTTTCCCAAAATGCCCCCATAGCAAGACCGAACTGCACCGACAACTGCGGCGGCGTAGCGATCCCTTTCCCGTTCGGCACATCGGAGAACTGCTACATGCTCCCGAATTTCAAGGTCACCTGCAACCAAACCTTCACCCCGCCGCGCCTTTTCCTCGGAGAAAGCACCATGCAGATCACGGAGATAAATCTCACCGCCGGCTACGTAAGAGTGATGAAGCTCACAAACCGCGACTGCTACCACCCTAACGGCACAAGAGCTTCCCGGTCATCGTCAATGACGGCCGTTCCCAGATTTTTGACGATCAACAACGTCGCCAATAAATTCACTATCGTCGGGTGCGATGCGTACGGCTACATCTCCGGGCGGCGCGTGGGCCGGAACTTCACCACCGGCTGCACCGCCATGTGCGAATCCACCGCCGACCTGGAGGAAGGCTCATGCACGGGCTCCGGCTGCTGCCAGACATCGATTCCCGAGAACGTGAACCGGATCGATATTCGACTGAGAAGCTATTCGAATTACACCGGTGTTCGAGATTTCAACGACTGTGGGTTTGCTTTCCTTGTTGAGGAGAGTTCGTTTAGATTTTATGCTAATAATCTTACCAGCTTGAAGAATGTCACCAGGCTTCCGATGATTATCGATTGGGCAATCGGAAACGAGACCTCTTGTGAATCGGCTATGAGGAATTCGACTAGCTACGCTTGCGTCAGCCCTAATTCTACTTGCGAAAAACCTGAAAACGGTTACGGGTATCGCTGTCATTGCCCGGCGGGTTATCGGGGAAACCCTTATCTCATCAACGGCTGTGAAGGTAAATATATATACACAAGGCCTTTATTTTTTTTTTTTTCGATTCTAGATTTTGGGTTTATAAATTAGATTTGTTGGATTGCATGCATGCAGATATAAATGAATGTGAAGATCCAGATCTGGTGAAAAGGACGTGCAGATCTGATTCTCATTGCACGAACAGGGTAGGTGGTTTTGATTGTATTTGCCCTAGTGGGTACAGTGGCGATGGACGATTAGACGGAGAAGGTTGCCGACGCGGCGAATCGCTTATTATAAAACTTGTTGCAGGTATTTAGCTAGCATCTAGCTCTCTCTCTCTCTCTCTCTCTCTCTCTCTCTCTCTCTCTCTCTCTCTCTCTCTCTCTCTCTCTCTCTCTCTCTCTCTCTCTCTCTCTCTCTCTCTCTCTCTCTCTCTCTCATGCACTCTCTCTCTATATCTAGGTATTGCCCTAGGAGTGGTTATCTTCTATTAGCTGCGTGTGTATTGTACTTGGAGCTCCGGAGAAGAAAAAACAACCTAACAAAGCAAAAGAACTTCCTCCAAAACGGCGGCATGCTCTTACAAGAGAAACTCTCCGCACGAGAACGATCACAAGACACGGTCAAGATCTTCACTTCAGTCGAGCTCGAAAAGGCGACAAACGACTTCCACAACGACATGATCATCGGCCAGGGTGGCTTCGGCACAGTCTACAAAGGCCTATTACAAGAGAACAACAATACAGTCGCTATAAAAAAGTCCAAGAGAGTCGACCCGAACCAAACCGAGCAGTTCATAAACGAGGTGCTCGTTCTTTCTCAAGTCAACCACAGGAATGTGGTTAGGCTACTAGGTTGTTGCTTCGAAACCGAAGTGCCCCTTCTAGTTTACGAATTCGTAGACAACGGCACACTTTCTTCACACGTGCACAATCAAGACAAGGCCCGTTATCTTAATTGGGAGACTCGTTTGAGGATAGCTGCAGAGACTGCCGGTGTGCTTTCGTACCTACACTCTTCGGCTTCTACACCGATTATACATAGAGATGTGAAATCGGATAATATTCTTTTGGATAGTACTTTCACAGCTAAAGTGGCCGATTTCGGAGCTTCGAGATTGGTTCCTATAGACCATACTCAGCTTTCTACTATGGTGCAAGGCACATTCGGTTATCTTGATCCCGAATACATGCAGACAAATCAATTGACCGAGAAAAGTGATGTTTATAGTTTCGGAGTAGTACTATTGGAGCTACTAACCGGTAGGGGGGCTATATGCTTTGACAAACCGGAGGAGGAGAAGAATTTGTCCTACTTTTTTCTTTCGATGCTAAAGCAAGATCGAATAATGGAAGTTGTTGATGATAGTATTATGGGAGACGAGAAAAGTAGGGAGCAAATAATGGAAGTTGCGAAGCTTGCGAAAGGGTGTTTGTATGTGAGAGGTGAAGATAGACCTAGTATGAAGGAGGTGGCTATGGAGTTGGAAGGTTTGAGGCTCGGTGGGAAACACGCGTGGGCCCGGAACGGGGACGAAGGAGAAGAGACGGAATCTTTGCTTCGTGATCGATTGAATGAATTTGTAGGTAATGGTGATGGTTATAGTAATACTACTATCGGATATGATAGTATTAGAGATCAAGTTCTTTTGCCTACAATGGGTGGACTAGGGAGATAGAAAAAAAATAATTTGGGGTTTAAGTGCAGTTTATTTATGCTGCTGAGTTCAATTGTGAGTTGTAGATTCGAGTTGCTATAGACTTGTGCAATGGTGGCACAAAGGGCAAAATTGTAAATTGATGATTGATTTTCATGTTGTTTCATATGTAATAATATTCTCGATTTAATTTGTTTATGTTATTGAAAAAATTAAGGAAATTAAATTGATAGTGTGCTGCATGCCCTGCCAATTATCACGACTTTGTTTAATAAGTCAATACGACGACTTTAATCGACGTGAGATGAATGTCCCGACTCGGGCCCACAACACAGTTGACGTTGACGACGGAAGAATATTTGGATAAAATTCATTTTAGTCCCAATTGTTTACTTTAATTTTAAAATAGTCCTCATCTTTTTATTTGATTTCGTTTTCAACTCTTGACTACTTTTCACTAACCTTATAAATATATATATTTTACTAACTAAAATAATTTTTAATGAGCATTTTGTTTATCTATAATGAAAATCATCCCTTATTATTTTGCAGCTAAAGCACAGTCATTCTTCACTTTACAAAATCATTTTCAAAAGGCTAATAAATAAAAGATTAATCAATTTTATTTATTTAAGTTAAAGTATTATTCAAAACATAACCAATTGCATACATTTATTTAAATTAAATAAATTTTCAATTTTTTTACATCAATAAATTTGAAAAATAAACCTAAATTTTATTTTGAATTATCTATAAGTTTAATTGGACTAATTTTATTTATCTTTTTTAATTCAAATTGAAATTTCTAATAACTTTAAAAAATAATTTGGCATAATGTGTATTTACTTTTTACACTGTTTTATGTCTAACTAATTAACATATCTAACTATCACATAAATGAAAAGAATTCTTCTAAATTTAATATATAAATTTTAACAAAAAATGATAAACATTAATTCAATGGTATTTTGGTTGAAAAATCCTATTATTCGCCATTTTACTTGAATTTATGCTAAGAGAGTGTCAGGGATGTGATTGGAGTTAATTAAAATTTTGAATTTGTTTTGAAATTGAGACGAAAAATCAGGGACTAAAATAAATTGAACCACAAAAACAATTAGTTTATGCACGTTGGAAAATAAATTAATAATAACACTAGCAAAGTTGTATTAATTAATTAGTTAATTTATTTATATATACACACACACACACACACAACAATGGAGAAAGAAAAGAAATAACATACGACAATGGATAATCATGTGATGCAAACCCTGGCATTAATGTTTCTTCCCATCATCATCTTCTCCATTAAACCAGCACTCTCCCAAAATTCCCCAGCCATAGCGAAGCCCAACTGCGCCGCCGCATGCGGCGGCGTGAGCATCCCATATCCATTCGGGACGACGGAAAACTGCTACCAACACTCCAGCTTCCTCGTCACCTGCAACGAAACATTCAGCCCGCCGCAACTCTTCTTAGGAGAAAGCACAATGCAGATCAAGAACATAAACCTCGACGGTCAGGTGAGGGTGACGAACGTGTACATCGGGCACGATTGCTACGACCGTAAAGCCAGAAGAGTTTCCCGCGTAACTACCTCGTTAACCCTGCCCTATTTTCTTACGGTGAACAACACCGCCAACAAGATCACAGTCGTCGGCTGCGACGCCTACGTGTACGTCTCCGGGCGGCGGCTCAGCCGGGAATTCCTGGCGGGATGCACCGCCGTGTGCTATGACAAGGGTGACCTGGAGGAAGGCTCGTGCACCGGCTCAGGGTGCTGCCAGACCTACATCCCCGAGGGTGTTTGGAGTTTGGAAATCGATTTACGGAGCTATTGGAATTACACGAATGTTTGGGATTTCAACGATTGCGGGTACGCGTTCGTCGCGGAGACGACCGCGTTTAATTTCTCGTATGAAAGCCTGACGAGCTTGAGGAATGTTACAGCTCTTCCCATGGTTATTGATTGGGCAATCGGAAACGGCACGTGCGAGGAGGCGGTGAAAAACGGGACTGATTACGCTTGTCTAAGCCCTAACTCCACTTGCTATAAACCCGAAAACGGTGACGGGTACAGGTGTCGTTGCCCTGTTGGTTATCAAGGAAATCCTTATCTCATTGATGGTTGTTATGGTATGTTAGTTTTGTAATTAATTAATTCCATTTTACTTTTTTTTTTTTTTTTTTTTTTTAATTTGTTTTTGTAATTTCCATGCAGATATAAATGAATGTGAAGATCCAGGTTTGAGAAAGATGTGCAGACATGATTGCGTGAACACGGACGGCGATTTTGAATGTACTTGTCCGAAAGGGTACCGTGGCAATGGAAGAGTAGACGGAGAAGGTTGCAGACGTGGCGAACCGCTTCTATTAAAAATATTTGCAGGTTAAATTAGCTAGCATGATGTATTCAACTAATAATACGCCTAATCATATCGTTGTTTGTTTACGATGTTTGATTTCGTTACAAAATGTTTGCTTAATAGGTCTGTTTTTCGATTCTTGAAAAAAATATATATATATAAACTGCAGGGAGTGCTCTAGGGGTGATTATTCTTTTATTGTCTGCTTGCTTAATTTACTTGGAGCTCAAGAGACGAAGATCGAACAAAGCAAAGGAAGAGCACTTTCATCGGAACGGTGGCATGATGTTGCTTGAGAAACTAGCCGATAGGGAAAGATCGCCCGACATGGTGAAGATCTTCACATCAACCGAGCTGCAAAAGGCGACGAACGACTTCAACAACGACATGATCATCGGCCAAGGTGGATTCGGCACAGTTTACAAAGGTCTATTGCAAGACAACACTTTAGTTGCTGTAAAAAAGTCCAAGAGAGTCGATCCGAACCAAACCGAGCAATTTATAAACGAGGTGCTTGTTCTTTCTCAAGTCAACCACAGGAATGTAGTCAGGCTCCTAGGTTGTTGCTTCGAAACCGAAGTACCCCTTCTCGTTTACGAATTCGTCGACAATGGCACACTCTCTTCGCACATACACAATCAGTCAAAGGGAGGTTGTCTTATTGATTGGGATATGCGTTTGAGGATAGCTGCAGAAACGGCGGGTGTGCTCTCGTACCTACACTCTTCAGCTGCTACACCAATCATACATAGAGACGTGAAGTCGGATAATATTCTCGTAGACCATAATTTCACAGCTAAGGTAGCCGATTTCGGAGCTTCGAGATTGGTTCCTGTGGACCATACTCAGTTGTCAACTATGGTGCAAGGAACTTTCGGTTATCTTGATCCTGAATACATGCAAACAAATCAATTGACCGAAAAAAGCGATGTCTATAGTTTCGGAGTAGTACTATTGGAGCTACTAACCGGTAGAGGGGCGATATGCTTTGACAAACCAGAGGAGGAGAAGAATCTGTCGTACTTTTTTCTTTCGATGCTGAAGCAAGATCGAATACTCGAAATAGTTGATGATGGTATATTAATTGTAGGAGATGATAAAAATAGGGAATCGCAAATAATGGAAGTTGCGAAGATTGCGAAAAGGTGTTTGTATGTGAGAGGTGAAGATAGGCCTAGCATGAAGGAGGTGGCTATGGAGTTGGAAGGTTTGCGGCTCGGTGGGAAACACGCGTGGGCCCGGAATGGGGACGACGGAGAAGAGACGGAATCTTTGCTTCGTGATCGATTGAATGAATTCGTAGGTAATGGTGATGGTTATAGTAATACTACTATTGGATATGATAGTATTAGAGATCAAGTTAATCTTTTGCCTACAATGGGTGGACTAGGGAGATAGAAAAAAAATTAATTTGGGGTTTTAAGTGCAGTTTATTTATGCTGCTGAGTTTGATTGTGAGTTGTAGATTCGAGTTGCTATAGACTTGTGCAAATGATAGCACAAGTGCACTATATATTGTAAATTCATGTGTGATTCTCATGTTGTTTTCATATGTAATAATTCTTGATTTCTGATTTGATTTCAATACAAAATGAATCTTCACAAATCACTCATTGAATTTACAACACACAAAATGCTATATATGATTATTGTACAAATGAATCAAACATATATAAGACATCAAATATAATCTATCTCCCTCCACCCAATGTAGGCAGAGCAACATGAACCATATTAATGCTATCGTATCCAACGCTCGCGCTATTAACGCTGCTCTGCTCACCAAGCAAGTATTCCGTTTCCTCTACGTTTTGCTCTTTCCGGGCCGACGAGTAGTGTCGTTTTCCGGCGAGCCTCAAACCTTCCAACTCCATAGCCACCTCTTTCATACTAGGCCTATCTTCACCTCTCACATACAAGCACTCTTTTGCAATCTTCGCGACTTCCATTATCTGCTCGTAATTATCTCCCACAATACTATCATCAACAATTTCGAGTATTCGATCTTGCTTTAGCAACGAAAGAAAAAAGTACGACAAATTCTTCTCCACCTCCGGTTTGTCGAAACTTATAGCCTGTCTACTGGTTATTAGCTCCAACAAGACTACTCCGAAACTATAAACATCGCTTTTCTCGGTCAATTGGTTCGTTTGAAGATATTCGGGATCAAGATATCCGAATGTGCCTTGCACCATAGTAGACAGCTGAGTGTGATCTATAGGAACTAATCTCGAAGCTCCAAAATCGGCTACTTTAGCAGTGAAAGTATGGTCTAACAGAATATTATCCGACTTCACATCTCTATGTATGATCGGAGTAGCAGCCGAAGAGTGTAAGTACGAGAGCACCCCTGCAGTTTCTGCAGCTATCCTTAAACGAGTCTCCCAATTAAGATAACGGGCCTTGAATTGATTGTGCAGGTGCGAAGAAAGTGTGCCGTTGTCTACGAATTCGTAAACGAGAAGGGGTACTTCTGTTTCGAAGCAACAACCTAGTAGCCTGACCACATTCCTGTGGTTGACTTGAGAAAGAACAAGCACCTCGTTTATGAACTGCTCGGTTTGGTTCGGGTCGACTCTTTTGGACCTTTTTATAGCAACTACAGTGTTGTCTGATAGGAGACCTTTGTACACAGTGCCGAATCCGCCTTGGCCGATTATCATGTCGTTATTGAAGCCGTTCGTCGCCTTTTGCAGATGAATCGAAGTGAAGATCTTCACCATGTCTTGTGATCTTTCTCTGTGGGCTAGTTTTTCAAGCAACATCATGCCACCATTCCGATGAAAGTACTCTTCCTTAGCTTTGTTGGCTCTTCGTCGCTTGAGCTCCAAGTAAAGTACGCACACAGCCAATAAAAGAACAATCACCCCTAGAGCACTCCCTGTAATTTCAAGAATCCAAAACAAATTACGCATAAAAGTTAGTAACATATCGAATCGAACATACATCATGAACAAGAAATATTAGAAAATTAGTTAAACTACTATATATATATATATATATATATATATATATATATATATATATATATATATATATATATTCAAAAAACCTGCAACGATTCTTAGTATAAGCGGTTCACCACGCCTGCAACCTTCTACACCAGTCTTTTTCCCATCGCCATGGTACCCTTTCGGGCAAGGACAGTCGAAACCGCCTTCATTGTTCACGCATTCATAATTACCACACAGCTGTTTAAGAACCGGATCTTTACATTCATCTATATCTGCACATTGATAAAAAGCACGATAATCATATATGAAAGAGTCAAAAAAAAAAAAAAAAGAAAACAAGAAATACGGGCATATATGATATATAGACATACCAGTACAACCATCGACGAGATAAGGATTTCCTTGATAACCCTTAATGCAACTACAACGATAGCCGTTCCCATTTTTTGTTTCGTTGCAGGCGGAGTAGGAGCTCAAACAAGCATAACTAGTGTTGTTCATTTGAGCCTCCTTGCACGTGCCGTTTCCAATGGCCCAATCAATAACCATAGGGAGCCTTGTAACATTCTTCAAATCGATGAGGCTTTGGTATGAAAAATTGAATGCATTTTTCTCAGCAACAAAAGCATACCCACAATCGTTGAAATCCCAAACTCTTGTGTAATTCCTATAACTCCCCAAATCAATATCCATATCCCAAACATTCTGGGGAATTGAAGTTTGACAGCAGCCTGAACCCGTACATGAACCCTCCATCAGATCCTCACGTGTATAGCACGTGGTCATGCAACCCGTCAGGTAACTCCGGCCAAGCCGCTGCCCGGAGACAAATCCATATGCATCACATCCCACAATCGTGACGGTATTAGCTGTATTACTGATTGTAAGATGTGTGGTCAAGGTTGTACTAGTTTCAAAGATGGAAGCCAAGCTGCCATTGCGATGGTAACAAACGTGCCCTATCAGCTTATTCACTGTCAGTTGGCCGTCGAGATTTATACTTTTGATTGGCATGTTCCCTAACAACAATTGCGTGCCGTTGGAGGTTTCGTTGCAGACGACCATGAAACTAGGGTTTTCGTAACAATTTTCTGTGGTGCCGAATGGATATGGGATGCTTATGTTGCCGCATCGGTCGACGCAATTCGGCTTTGCTATGGCCGGCAAATTTTGGGAGAGTGCTGGTTTGATCATAGCGAAGAAGAAGAAGATGATCATCATGGGAAGAAGAACAACTAATGACATCTCGTACTATATAGTTATGTTAATTCTTTTGTTTTCTGGGTTGTTATTATTATGAACTTAAAACAAGATTACTACCATACATTTATACAAATTCTCTCAAGCAATTGGGAATTTAACAAAATCTTAACTGCAAGTGTCATTTTTTTTGGCTGGATTAATGAAATAATTTACATATTTTTACAAAGTAAACTTGCATGTCGATTTAACGCTTCGTAGACTTGTTTGTAATTGGTGAACAATCACCCTCTTACATAATTGATTCAGTTTTTTTTTTCTTTTTTTTTTTAATAATTAATGTTACTTCCAATCTTCATTTATATATTTTTTTAAAAAAAAAGAAGTTTACAGAGTAAAAGAATATAGGGTTAATTGCGGCCATGATGTAATGTCAAATTACGTCAGGTTTGAATACTTACAACCACCCCTCAACTATGAATATTTCTTACACATCCACCCTATCGGTGTCCAATTTAGTGGAATATTCTCCAGTTTGGAGCTTCGAAAGTGGGGCCTCAAGATCACACACTCAGCTATCTACTATGGTGAAAGGTACATTCAGATATCTTGATCCTGAATACATGCAGACAAATCAGTTGACCGAAAAAAGCGATGTTTACAACTTTCGGAGTAGTCTTATTGGAGCTACTAACCGGTAGAGGGGCAATATACGGTTCGACAAACCGGAGGTTGAGAAGAATCGAATACTCGATTCGTTGCTAAAGGAAGATCGAATACTCGAAATTGTCGATGATAGTATTGTGGGAGATAATTATAAACAGATAATGGAAGTTGCTAAGCTTGCAAAAGAGTGCTTAAATGTGAAAGGTGAAGATAGGCCTAGTATGAAAGAGGTGGCTATGGAGTTGGAAGGTTTGAGGCTCGGCGGAAAACGACACTACTCGTGGGCCCGGAACGGGGAAGAAGGAGAAGAGACGGAATCTTTGATTCGTGATCGATTGAATGAATTTGTTGTTAAATAATGGGGATGTTTATAGTACAAGTACTGGATATGATAGCATTAGAGATCAGGTTGTTGATCTACCTATAATATTGGGTGGTGGGAGATAGAAAAAAATAAAAATTAAAAATTGGTGACTGAATACTGCAGTTATTATAATGTAAAGTGATGTGTCATTTTGATGTTGCGTATGTTGAGATTAATTTTGTTACATTAACTGGTTCAAGATTGGGACAGTACTGCTAAAAAAAAAAAGAAAAAAAAAAAAGAATGGCCATCTTTGTTGTGCAAGAGCCACTATAGAGAATTAAGTTAAAGACTTTTGTTTAATTAGTCAAGATTATGACTTCCCATTGACTCGAGTTAAATGTGAACTACTCAGCCCCACTAGTCAAATTAAAAAACTAAATAATCTTGACTTAAACAATGTCTTTAACTTCTTTATTTCTCTTTACTACACACACGCCAAGTTCCTTTGTAAATTTCAAAGGGTTATTTATTGCGTCATAATGAGCCTCGTCTAATTAATTTAGGTAGGCATCATCTCAATGGTGACTAGTACTCTAAAATTAATATCTAAAGTAGGGATGACAATGGGTCGGGTTACGGGTCTTATTGGAACCGATCCAAAACCGACCCGTGTGTATATATATATATATATATATGATATACCTAATTGGCCCAACCCAATGGGCCTACAAATTATTTATCTACTGGGCCACGAGCCCAATATCGAAGACCACTATCACCGAGGCCCAATCACCTTCAAGTAAGGTTTGTGCCCGACAATCTCAACTAAGCTATAAATAAAGGTTTGAACTCATTCCTTAAGGTACGTCCTATTAACTGAGCAATACTACAACTGTATTCTCTAGACTATTTCTATGATCAGCACGTCTGACTTGAGCGTCGGAGGGGTTTCCGCCGGATCAACCCCGTCTTAGTTCATGTGTTCTATGATCGCAAGTACCTCAGGATCATCAAGTTGTCAAGCTACTGATCCGCTTTGCTATCCCAGTTCATTTACTACACTACCCCATGTGATCTAAATAATTAGCATCATCATTTTGGCGCCGTCTGTGGGAACGATGCAAACCAGATCACGTAGCCAACAAGATCCTCCTGAGGCGTCAGCTCGGAGAGAAAATGACGCAGCTAATCAAGATCCTCCTGAGGCGTCAGCTCGGGGAGAAAATGACACAGCTAATCAAGATCCTCCTGAGGCGTCAGCTCGGAGAGAAAATGACACAGCTAATCAAGATCCTCCTGAGGCGTCAGCTCAGAGAGAAAATGACACAGCTAATAACCTCCCAATCCGTGGAGGATCTGGCATGCCACCTCCTCCACGTGCCGCGGAGCCACTTCCTCCACGCGCCGCGGAGCCAACTCCTCCACGTGCTGCAGATCCACCTCGCAAAAGTTCAGGTGATCCCTCCTCGGGACCCACCACTCGCCGATCCACCACTCCCTGCTCCTCGAATGGTTCAAATAATTAGCATCATCAATATATATATAATTTCGGATTTCATTTATCAAACTATCAATTTCCATCTTGTCTATCTCATCTACCTATTTTCACTGTTTTATTTTTCGAATCTCATTTCTCGTGAGTGATATTTATCACTTGTCGACCATCGCTAATTATCTTGCATTTTGAATTTTACTTATTATCAAGTTAACTATAATTAATTGTAATTTTATTGTTCATGTTATGTCACTTGTAGATATTTTTTAAAATATTGTATTTTAGTATTGAGATTATTTCGTAAAAATATAGAAGCAAAATGTTATGAAAGTTAAAAAATATTAAACTTTTTGTATGTTAATGGTTCTAGCAGATCTGGTGAGTCAGAATCGTTTAGTTAGGGTCTGGGTTGGGGCGGGTCAGAACCGTTTAGTTAGGGTCTGAGTTAGGGCGGGTCTGGGTCTAAGCTAAAGCGGGTTGGGACGGGTCTTTGATTTATATATTTTTCATGGGTCGGGTCTTGGGTTAATGCAAACTCGGCCCAAAACCGACCCGTTGCCATCCATAATATTCAGGTTTGAATCCATTTGGCACCAGTCTTTAGGTATAGCCGTATAGCTTGTCACACATACTTTGTTTAGATAATAGTTTCTCTACGTCTTGAACGAAAATTTATTAATTCGATAAGTTAATATTTCGTTAAATTAGTAGATTTTTTTTAGTCGCAACTGCATTAATTTATAAAGTGTAGAATTACCCAGTAGATCTGTATAGAAAAAAAAATCCTAATATCTAATTTTTTATTTCAGTAGAACGGAAACTACAAATTAGATCTACTCGTTCGTTCAATGAAATATGTTTTGTATCTTTACAAAGTAAACTTGTATGTCAATTTCAAGCATTGTAGACTTGTTTGTAATTGGTGAACAATCACCCTCTTACAAAATTGATTCAGTTTTTCTTTTCAATATATTTTTTTTAATAATGTTAATTCCAATATTCATTTGTATTAAAAAAAAATTAAAAAAAAGAGTTTACGAAGTAACTAAAAGAATATAGTAATGGTACTAGGCTGTATTTGGATGCAGCCTTCCCAATTATTCTTTCTTTGCTACCGGTATAAATACACATGTAGTAATCTTGTTTTTTAAATTACAAAAGAAAATTAAACACAGGACGATGATACGGCGGCGTTTTGATAATGTGGTGCAAACCCTGCATCTGTCAATATTATTCATGATCTTCTTCATCTCCATAAAACCAGCACTTTCCCAAAAGGCCCCCATAGCAAAGCCCAACTGCAACGACACCTGCGGCGGCGTAGCCATCCCATACCCATTCGGCACGTCGGAAAACTGCTACCGCGGCAATGTCAGTTTCAGGCTCGTCTGCAATGAAACATTCGACCCGCCACAGTTACTCCTCGGAAACATACCAATCACAGAGATAAACCTCGACGGTCAAATGAGAGTGATGAAGCTCATAAGTCGAGACTGTTACAACCCTAACGGCACAACAGCTGTCCGGACGAGGTCAACGACGAGCCTGTCAAGATTCCTGACGGTCAACAACACCGCCAACAAGTTCACTATCGTGGGGTGCGACGCATACGGTTACGTCTCCGGGAGACGCCTGAACAGAAACTTCACCACCGGCTGCACCGCCATATGCGACTCCATTGCTGACCTGGAGGAAGGCTCCTGCATGGGCTCCGGCTGCTGCCAGACTTCGATTCCCGAGTTCGTTTCTGTGCTCGATATTCGATTGAGAAGCTATTCGAATTACAGTGATATTCGAGATTTCAATGACTGTGGATTTGCTTTCATTGTTGAGGAGAATTCCTTCAAATTTTCGGCTGATAATCTTACAAACTTCAAGAATGTTTCCAGGCTGCCTATGATTATCGATTGGGCTATCGGAAACGAGACCTGCGAATCGGCACAAATGAACCTGACCAGCTATGCTTGCGTAAGCCCTAATTCTACTTGCTACAAACCCGAAAATGGTAACGGATACCGGTGTCGTTGCCCCGTCGGTTATCAAGGAAACCCTTATCTCATCAATGGCTGTCATGGTATATATAAATAGTATTTATTTTTTTCATGTCGATCGTAATATTATAATCATATGATCAAATGCATGTAAATAATATTTCAATTGTTGTACGTTGCATGCAGATATAGATGAATGTGAAGATGAAGGTGTGAGTAAGCTGTGCAAACATGGCTGCAAGAACACTGAAGGCGGTTTTTACTGTCCTTGCCCGAAAGGGCACCGAGGCGATGGAAAAATTGGTGGAGATGGTTGCAGTCCTAGCAATTCGATTACATTAAAACTTGTTGCAGGTTAGCATATATATATAATTAGTCTTTTTCTGTATTCTGTTTCCTGATTCTTGAAAATATATATATATATATATATAAACTGCAGGGATTGCTCTAGGGGTGATTATGCTTCTGTTAGCTGCTTGCTTGTTGTATTTGGAGCTGAGACGAAGAAAATCCAATAGAAGAAAGCAAGAGAACTTTCTTCAAAATGGTGGCAACTTGTTACAAGAAAAACTCTCTAGAAGTGAAATATCTCAAGACATGGTGAAGATCTACAGTTCGATCGAACTGCAAAAGGCGACGAACGAGTTCAGTAACGATATGATCGTCGGACAAGGTGGCTTTGGCACTGTGTACAAAGGCATATTACCCGACAACACTTTAGTTGCTGTAAAAAAGTCCAAAAGAGTCGATCCAAACCAAACCGAGCAATTCATAAACGAGGTGCTCGTTCTTTCTCAAATCAACCACAGGAATGTGGTGAGGCTCCTAGGTTGTTGCTTCGAAACCGAAGTGCCCCTTCTCGTTTATGAATTCGTAGACAACGGCACACTCTCTTCGCACGTGCACAATCCGTCAAAGGCCCGTTATCTTAATTGGGAGACGCGTTTAAAGATAGCTGCAGAAACTGCCGGCGTGCTTTCGTACCTACACTCTTCGGCTTCTACATCAATCATACATAGAGATGTCAAGTCGGACAACATTCTTCTGGACAGTAATTACACAGCTAAAGTGGCCGATTTCGGAGCTTCGAAATTGGTTCCTCAAGATCAGACTCAACTATCTACAATGGTGCAAGGTACATTCGGATATCTTGATCCCGAATACATGCAAACAAATCAGTTAACCGAAAAAAGCGACGTTTATAGTTTCGGAGTTGTACTATTGGAGCTACTAACCGGTAGGGGGGCAATACGGTTCGACAAACCGGAGGTGGAGAAGAATTTGTCGTACTTCTTTCTTTCGTTGCTAAAGGAAGATCGAATACTCGAAATTATCGATGATAGTATAGTGGGAGATAATTATGAGCAGATAATGGAAGTTGCTAAGCTTGCGAAAGAGTGCTTAAATGTGAAAGGTGAAGATAGGCCTAGTATGAAAGAGGTGGCTATGGAGTTGGAAGGTTTGAGGCTCGGAGGAAAACAGTACTCGTGGGCCCGAAACAACGAAGACGAGACGGAATCTTTGATGCTCCGTGAGCGGAGTATTAGTGGCTTTGTTAATGGTGATGGTAATAGCACAAGTGTTGGATTTGACAGCATTAGACAAGAGGTAATTCTGCCTGTATTAGGTGGAGGGAGATAGAACAAAGTATTTGTTCATGAGTTTGATTGTGTGTTTGTTTTGTTGTACAATAATTAATAGCATTTGTGCTGCAAAGTGATGAGTGATTTTTCATCTTCATTTGATTAAATATATGTTGTGATTTGTATACATAACTCTGCTATTATGAATATATGAAGGTTGATTTGTATAGAAATTAAATTAATGAATAAAAAGTGAGCAGTTTATTATTATTATTTTTTTAATTTTCTAGCAACTGCATTTGTTGTATATTGGCCCTGTAATTTGCAACTACTCTCTCTCTCTCTCTCTCTCTCTCTCTCTCTCTCTCTCTCTCTCTCTCTCTCTCTCTCTCTCACACACACACATACCAAAGCCTCACCAATTTGAAGAATGTTACAAGGCTCCCTATGGTTATTGATTCGGCAATGGAAAACCTGACTTCGACGCGGCGAAAACGAACCCACCGATTCCGTCCCTTCTCCATCTTCCCCATTCCGGGCCCACGCGTGTTTCCCACCGAGCCTCAAACCTTCCAACTCCATAGCCACCTCTTTCATGCTAGGCCTATCTTCACCTTTCACATTCAAGCACTCTTTTGCAAAGCTTAGCAACTTCCATTATCTGTTCATAATTATCTCCCACTATACTATCATCGATAATTTCGAGTATTCGATCTTCCTTTAGCAACGAAAGAAAGAAGTACGACAGATTCTTCTCAACCTCCGGTTTATCGAACCGTATCACCCCCCTACCGGTTAGTAGCTCCAATAGTACTACTCCGAAACTATAAACATATATCGCTTTTTTCGGTCAATTGATTTGTCTGCAGGTATTCAGGATCAAGATATCCGAATGTACCTTAGCACCATAGTAGACAGCTGAGTGTGGTCTATAGGAACTAATCTCGAAGCTCCAAAATCGGCTACTTTAGCAGTGAAAGTACTGTCCAAGAGAATATTATCCGACTTCACATCTCTGTGTATGATCGGAGTAGCAGCTGAAGAGTGTAGGTACGAGAGCACGCCGGCAGTTTCTGCAGCTATCCTCAAACGAGTCTCCCAATTAAGATAACGGGCCTTGAATTGATTGTGCACGTGTGAAGAAAGTGTGCCATTGTCTACGAATTCGTAAACGAGAAGGGGCACTTCGGTTTCGAAGCAACAACCTAGTAGCCTGACCACATTCCTGTGGTTGACTTGAGAAAGAACAAGCACCTCGTTTATGAACTGCTCGGTTTGGTTCGGGTCGACTCTTTTGGACCTTTTTATAGCAACTATGGAGTTGTCTTGTAGTAATCCTTTGTACACAGTACAGTATCCACCTTGGCCGATGATCATGTCGTTATGGAATTCGTTCGTCGCCTTTTGCAGCTGAACTGAAGTGAAGATCTTCACCATGTCTTGCGATCTTTCTCGATGGGCTAGTTTTTCGAGCAACATCATGCCACCATTCCGATGGAAGTACTCTTCCTTTGCCTTGTTGGCTCTTCGTCGCTTGAGCTCCAAGTAAATTACGCACACAACCAATAAAAAGAACAATCACCCCTAGAGCACTCCCTGTAATTTCAAGAATTCAAAACAAATTACGCATAAAAGTTGGTTAACATATCGAATCGAACATACATCATGAACAAGAAAGAGTAGACAAATTAGTTAAGCAACTATATATTCAAAAACCTGCAACGATTCTTAGTATAAGCGATTCACCACGCCTGCAACCTTCTACACCAGTCTTCTTCCCATCGCCACGGTACCCTTTCGGGCAACGACACTCAAAACTGCCTTCATTGTTCACGCATTCATAATCACCACACGCCTTTTTAAGATCCGGATCTTTACATTCATCTATATCTGCAAATTGATAAAAAGCACGATAATCATATATAGGCACACACGCTATGAAAGAGTCGGAAAAAAAACAAGAAACACGGGCATATATATATATATATATATATATATATATATATATATATATATATATATATATATATATATATATATATGCTAAGTGTATATTTTTACACTTTATCGTACCTTTTTATTTGAGCTTTTGGTGTGTTTTAACGATAATTGGTGCTTAAAAAGTTGATTTATTGTATTTTAGGTACAAATTGAAGAATTGAAAAAGTATGGGGTCAAAACTGCAATATTGGAGAAAATATGGGCCAAAAGTGAAAAAATAAAATCTGAAGATTTAAAGCTCGGACGGCCGTCCGAGTTTTAGTTCAAATTGTGGGACGGCCGTCCGAGACCTCGAGGCAGGGCAGTAAAGGGATTTTAATTGCACAAAGAAACTGCATTCTTCTCCAAATTTTCCACCCTATATAAGACCAAGACAAGCACACAATTGGGGATCTTTTTACGCAATTTGAAAAGCAACAAAACAATAACGAAGACGAAGAATTCGAAGACTCCAAGCATAGATTTATCGTTTATGACTTATTTTATTTGCGTTTTTCCTTTAATCATGAGTAGCTAATTTTCTTATTTCTAGGATTTTATTTGGAACCCTATGTGGGATTTATGAACTCAATTCTATGATTTTATGCAAGTTTTAATTCCGGATTATTTCTCCTACTTGTTTTATTAAGTGCATGAATTTGATCACCTTATGTGCTTTTATGTTATTGTTAATCGCATGAATCGGAAGATCGGGTTAATAATTTTAGAACTGTGGTAGAAGAGCCTTTGTGGTATTAACATAGGAATATAGTTAATCTCTTAGGTAGCCATTATTGAGATTTGTGCTTAATGTTGTGTTCTAGAATTAATTGCATAGGAATATAGTAATTGAATCTAGAGTATTAGAATCGTAATACACGCGGAAGCGGGTTATGATTATTTTAGCATCTCAGGTTAATAATCCGGGTTAATTGCTTGCATAATTGAAGGAATTGGGGGAGTAATAATCACATAGGGGGAAGAATAAAGTCATAGGCTTGTTTACTCTGATTAAACCTTCGTTTTTAATTGCTTCCGTGCTCTTGTCTTTTTAATTTGCTTTTTAATTTAGTTTAATTTAGTTAATTCTCTCCAACTTCGACTGTGTATGGTGAGCTTGATAATAATTGGTAGGATTTAGCGTCTAGGATTAAATAATTAAATATTCCCTGTGGGTTCGATATCCGGACTTTTAGTCCACTATATTACTTGTACGATACGTGCACTTGCGTGTAGGTTTTCGGCCAACAATATACACACACACATACTAGTACAACCATCGACGAGATAAGGATTTCCTTAACGCAACTACAACGATACCCGTTGACGTTTTTCGTTTCGTTGCAGGTGGAGTAGGAGCTCAAACAAGCATAGCTAGTGTTGTTCATTTGAGCCTCCTTGCACGTGCCGTTTCCAATGGCCCAATCAATAACCATAGGGAGCCTTGTAACATTCTTCAAATCGATGAGACTTTGGTATGAAAAATTGAATGCATTTTTCTGAGCAACAAAAGCATAACCACAATCGTTGAAATCCCAAACATCTGTGTAATTACTAAAACTGTCCAATTCAATATCCATATCCCTAACATTTTGGAGAATGGAAGTCTGACAGCAGCCTGAACCCGTATAGGAGGAACCTTCCGTCAGATCCTCACGTGTAAAACAAACGGTCATGCAAGCGGCAAAGTAACTCCGGTCAAGCTGCTCACCGGAGACAAATGCATATGCATCACATCCCACAATCGTGACGGTATTAGCTGTATTACTGATTGTAAGATGTGTGGGCAAGGTTGTCCTAGTTTTGAAGATGGAAGCCATGCTGCTATTGCGATGGTAACAAACGTGCCCTATCAGCTTATTCACTGTCAGTTGGCCGTCGTTGAGATTTATACTTTTGATTGGCATGTCCCCTAAGAACAATTGTGTGCCGTTGGATGTTTCGTTGCAGACGACCATGAAACTAGGGTTTTCGTAACAACTTTCTGTGGTGCCGAATGGATATGGCGGTGCAACCAGCCTTTGCTATGGCCGGTAAATTTTGGGAGAGTGCTGGTTTGATAGCGAAGAAGAATATGATCATCATCATGGGAAGAAGAACCACTAATGACAGCAAACGACGCCGTAACATCGTAATATATATATATATATATATATATATATATATATATATATATATATATATATATATATATATATATATATATATATATATATATATATATATATATGTTTATTCTTCTGTTTTCTGGGTTGTTATTATTATGAACTTAAAACAAGATTACTACCATAAATTTATACAAATTCTCTCAAGCAATTGGGAATTTAACAAAATCTTAGCTGCAAGTGTCATTTTTTTTTTGGATGGATTAATGAAATAATTTACAAATTTTTACAAAGTAAACTTGTATGCCGATTTCACGCATCGTAGACTTGTTTGTAATTGGTGAACAATCACCCTCTTACAGAATTGATTCAGTTTTTTTTTTTTTTTTTTTTTTTTTTTTATAATAATGTTACTTCCAATCTTCATTTCTATTTAAAAAAAAAAAAAAAAGAAAGAAAGAAGTATACGGAGTAAAAGAATATAAGGTTAGTTACGGCCATGATGTAATGTCAAATTACGTCATGTTTGGAATATATAATTACAACCACCCTCAAACTCGTTTTGGGTAAAAAAAAAACAGTTTCAGATGTATCACAATCTGATATCTACAAGACAAGAGACACGTCTTATGATCATCGATCTTGTTTCAAAAAATGGAGCTCGAATGGAATAAAGGGGATACAAACTGGATCATATTCCACTTAATCTAAAAAAATCAATTAAATTAGAGACCGCAAGAGTAGACATGTAAAAATATTCATAATTGAGGATTGAGTTTTTCATAATTTAATCTAAAAAATATAATGGCCTTCTTTGTTCATGTGCAAGAGTTCACTAGAGAGAAAGGTGAAGACTTTTGTTTAATTAGCCTTATAAGATTATGACCTCCCATTGACTTGAGTTAAATATCAACTACTCGATTATGACCTCCCATTAACTTGAGTGAAATGTCACTAACTCAGCACCATAATCAAAATGTACACGCAAATAGAATATATATAAATAATAGTAAAAATTATTGTACACGCAAAGACGTAGCTTTCCATGATGTAAAGTTTGCTTGAGAGAATTAATTACTCCGCAATTAGCATCCGATTTAGTAGTATAAATTCATGTAGTAATCTTATTTCAATTTTCAAAACACAAGACAA